TAAGGAGGCAGTTTCTCCATTAGGTTTCCCTCCTCTCAGATAACTCCAGCTTGGGTCAAGCTGACATAACAAGGCAGGACAGGGCCCAGAACCACTTTTCCACCATTCTGGCTTCTGGCTGGAGTCCAGGTCTCAGCGGGCCTTTCGGATGCTCCAGGAGAAGGAAGACGGCTGAGACCAGAGAGGCCCTGGAGACAGACCCCGAAACCTGCCATTTCAGCAGCAGCCAGGAGACTCCATCAGTCTTGGGGACTCGTCAGACAGGAGAGCTGTGCTCCTGCTCTGCTTGACGGTGAACAGCCCTCTGCAGCTTCTCTCCAGGAGACTCGCCTGCCAGGGTGCCCACCAAGAGCACAATGTCAGCTGGAACTCTGCCGCCACTGGGGGTCTGTTGCTACTTTCCCATTCAAGTTCTTACTTCCCAGTCTGACCTTCTCTTAAGTCCGCTCCTGACTCTGCCTTCTGACTCCATTCCTGGAGGGAGGTCAGAGGAGAAGCCATGAAAGAACTGGCCACCTCCTTAGGGGGGAAAGTTGATCATTCTTCACATTGCAGTTTCCCCAGTTTCTTAGGCAAAGCCTTTTTACTTTGAAGCTCACAACGGTGGTATTGCCATCCATTTGCCTATTCACCCATCCAATAGATCTGCGTTTGCTTCATGCTGTCCACCAGGCTGTAGAGACTGCCAGAGCAGTGAAGACTCCATCAACAGGTAAGGAGAAGTGTGGGGACAAATGGCCACAAAACCAGCAACTGTCAATCATGAAAGAAAAAAATAGGAAAGCACTGAGAGGGGCAGGACTTGAGCAAGGCAAGAGTAGGGGAGGATCGTTCTGAGATGAGAGCGGGGAGGAAGGAAGGCGCCTGGCTCTCAAGGAAAACAAGCTGCTTCTAGTGTGTGAGGAAGAGAGTGTTGGGTGGCACCAGCCATGCAACCCTTGGGGACCATGCTGAGGACAGAAACTCAGACAAACGTTCACAACTGCATTCTTTATCAGCCACCTGCTTCTGCTTACCGTCAACACAGGCACTTGGGCTCTACTCCAACTCTTGGCACACCATGCCAGCTTTACACCAAGGCTTCACCACCACTCTACTCTCTCTCTCTAGTGGCGGCCATCTTAACCTCAGGGAGCCTCCTCTTCAATTTCCCTCTTGTCTAGAATTCCCACAGGCTCTGAAAATCATATCCCAGCACTTCATTCTTAGACCATGATTCCTCACCAATCCCACCCTCTCACTCCCTTCCACCTAACAAGGCTTCAAGATTTTTATTTATCTTAGTAAAAAATTAGCATAACAGTTGTAAAATTGCATCAGAATAAGCAAAACAGTAAGTTGCATGGTTTCCTCAGCCTACCAAGGCACGTAGGCTTGTCCACATCCCTGCACCTCCAAACATCTTTCAACTTATATGCAAGCAAAAATATTTTGTATTTACAATGAATACAAAATTTGGGGATTTTTTAAAAACATAAAACAACGACTAAATCACAGATGAGCAGAGAGATCAGAGCCTTCAAGGAGCTGCACACTCCTCCCGTGACTGATCCTGCTTTCAGCTCACCTCCGAAGAGAACGAAGCCTCCTTTGTTGTGTGCCTTACCAGACCAGACCTGTTGGCCCCAGAAAAACTTGAAGGGGTCTCTCTAGTGAAGTGTTTCCAATCTTTGTAGTTGAGAAAGAATGGCTGCTTATAACCAAAAGAGCCAGCGGGCAGAAGGGTTCCTCACTGAAACCCGGCAGATGGCAGCGCGGCTCGGAGTTCCATGAGAACCGAGGCCTCCACACCTTTCACCACTCGGTCCACCGCTGCTCAGCAGATGTGCACAACAGGCTGCTGGCAGGTGTTGAGGAAACCACAGCCTTAAGCAGGCAAGGAAACTTGAAACTCACTTGTGAGGCTTGGATGGCAGGAAAGCCAGCAGACCAAAATAAGAGAAGCCTACTTAAGAAGAACCGATGGAAGAGACAGAAAAGGACCCTAATGAAATGAAAATATAATGGAATTACATAACACAAAAGAGTACTTTTAGGAACTAAGAAACACATAAGTTTTAGATTAAAAATCCAACATTCCAATTGAAAAGGGGAATTACTGTCTTCCAAAACTTTACCAGTGGTCAAAAGATCAGATGGAACCTTACAGAGGCCTAGTGACAGATTCTGTATTGATAAAAGGCCAAGTCACACAGAAATCAGATCCAGAGAAGCAAAGGGAAGAGAGGAACCCAGGAAGAAGTGATAATAACTGAGCAGCAGAAGAGAATCTGTGTAACTTAAAATCGCAGGGCCCTGGACATGGATGAGAATGCCCCAAATCTGCTACAACATCGGGGAGACAGTTTGCTGGCGTGGTGGGAAGCTAGGAGACAAAAACTGCCCAGGGATACTGGGCACTGACTCTGGGATCTCGGGGTACTGGGACTTGGTACTTCACGGGGAAATGCGAAGCACACAGACACTGAAATTCTCATTGTTAGATGACACCTAGATACTCGTCACAAAGTACCAACCTCAGGGATGCTGGGAGACAATGTTCTTCCTTTCACACTCTTGCTAAAACACTGCAGATACAAACACTTAAAAGTTATAAACGTAAGTTACTCTGATGAAGATGCATAGTTGAGGACACAAACAGAAACCACTCATAAATAAATGTATCCTTGTTAGAAGTCACTGCTTTTATCTTTTTTAAAGTACTTAAAGGTAGGACAGTCAGAGTGGAGACTGTATGTGGAGTGGTATGCCTCCCGACTGTCAGCAGTGTGAAGAGGGTGAGTTCTTGACTTTGAAGTTGTCAGTTTCCAACAGGAAGACGGTTCTGCATGCAGAACTTGAATTCTCGAGCCACAGACCGGAGCTCCAATGCCAACTTTAGTTTCACACTGCAGCCGTGGCAGTTAATTCTTTCCTGCTTCTGTTTTGTTCTAATCTAAAACATTAACTCGAGCAGCAATCTCTTTCCATATCCATCACCAGTACCTAGTATACAGCAAAACATTATGTAGGACCGGAGACACCAAGAACAGCATGCATGTCTGGTTTTGGCCATCAGAGAGGCTGGTAGGGAGTGCTCAGGAGCCGTTGGGGGCACTTCCTAAGGCCCTAGGAGAACCAACAAAGAACTGAGATGGACTAAATCAAGTAAGAGGACAGTTGTGAGAGAAGAAAAGCCAACAGTTTCTGACACTCTATATTGTGTTACTTTAAGCAAAACAGAAGCTGGAAGAGGTGGAAGATGATTGTGACTCCAGGACTTGGGAGGCAAAGGCAGGAAGCCACAGCTTGACACCAGCCTGGGCTATACAGAGACCCTGTTGGCCTCCATGAATGACTCTACTACTAACATTATTTGTTGTTATTATTTGTGGGACTGGGCATTGAAGCCAGAACTTACACGTTAGGCAAGAATCTACTGCTGAGCTGTATGTCCGACCTTCCCTTTTTTCCATCCTTTGAGACAGGCTTTTACGAAGTTGGCCTCCAACTCACTCTATAGTACAACTCTTGACCTTTCAATCCTCCTGGTTCAGCCTCCAAAGTAGTTAGGATATTAATGAGGCCTGAGCCACTATGCCAGGCTGTGTGATCTCTGAAGAGTAAGTGCTCCTTTGAACAATACTCTCAGTCACTCTCCAGGAGGAGATATAGTCACTTGATCCCTGGCATCCATATCCACCTTTTCCAAGTACTCCACTGTGGCACATGGTAGTGAAATTCTCGATCTCACTTTGACTTCATGCTAGTAATAATAAAGACCTTATCCCATTGGGACTGGGCTCCACGACTCTGCATTCTGACTGGTTGTGGTTTTCTGTTGTAATTTCCATCTGTTGCGAAGAGAAGTTTTCTTGATGAGGAGTGAATACTACACTTAGCTGTGGGTATAAGAACAACTGTCTATAGATGGTTGTTAGGAATTAGACTGGTTTAGTAAACTAGTACTTGTAGATTCTCCATGCCTTTACGAGCACTGCATAGTTAGGTAAGTTTCTGGACACATCTACAAAACACTACAGCATCTTGGGCTCAGGGAACACTGCAGAAGAGGAGCAGAAGACTCTAGATGCCAGGGGATCAAGTTGTTGGCCATGAGAATGTCTCCTGGTAATATCAGAGGCTATACCCATGAGGTCTCCCCAACATGGCTGGCCAAACATGAGCTGAACAAAGATGACACCAACAGTCATGCCAAAGCGGACAGGGAAAAGGCCATGTGGCTTCTACCCTACACAAAGAACTATAGGCCGCTGAGGAAAGCTGGGAGCAGGAAAGGCATTCCTCCCCAGGGAAAAGCATGCCAATTGATTATCCAGTGCCACGTGTCAGACCTGAAAAACATATATATATATGTATGTATGTATGTATATATGTATATATATATATGCAACGTTATACACACTGAACAACTTATATTTAGGAACAAACACATACATACAGAGAGAGAGAGAGAGAGAGAGAGAGAGAGAGAGAGAGAGAGAGAGAGATGCAATAACAATTTGTGAAGAAAAGAGGTCACAAATTTGAAGGAGAGCAGAGAGGCTTTGGTGGGAAAGAAGAAAAGGAAGGGGGAAGTGGTATAATTATAATCTCAAAAATAAAATAAAAGGCTTATCCCAAAGCCTCTTAGTGTTAAGAATGGGTAATTTCAACCGTCCGATGTGATCTGGGAAGGCATGGAAAGTACAGAGCAAGCTGTTCTCCTGTGGTCCATTAGTCAACACCAAGGCTTTAGGGTATCTGAGGCTTTAGGGTATCTGTAGTAGGAATGCCAGACAATCCCTAACATAAAATGAAGGAGCTCTGGCTTCCGAGGACAGCCCGAATGCCCATGAAAAGAAACGAGGGCTGACACATGTTTTTCCTGTTACCATCAGCTGGCACTAAAAACTCATCACTTAATAGTTTGTGTTTAAAATCTCAGAGAAGTGATAATGGAAACTCAACACATACTTAAAGCAATATTAAGTACAACGAAACATTTGCTATCTTTAGAATGTATGTTATAACATTTCTGAATATTTTATTTATATGGCATCACAATATAAAACAAGTAAATACATTATTTAAAATCATGTATTTGGCTCATAACTGGCCTAAATTCATTACAAGTTTACTTCGATGGTTCATAAGAATAATTTTGATTTTTGCATATAGAAAGAAAAATACTTTAAAAATTAATATTTTTTAAAAAAGAATGAAACCAGAATTCAATGCAAAATATCTACCACAAATGAAGACTAAGAGTTATCAGCTCTTAAAGTTTCAATCAGATAATAAATTATGTCTCAAATATCTTGAGATACAAACTCCTTAACACTGGTAACAATCATCAATCAATAAATTCAACAATTTATCTAAACATCGTTACATAGGAAATCTGAAGAAACTGCAAGTAATTCTTAATGCTCTCATTCTGATTCTCTGACTTCTGAAGATTGTGCTGTATTTCCTTCAAACATATGTCCTGATGCTGGGCTTTCTAAATGAAGAGAGAAACAGATAATCAGGATGGCGTTCATATGCAAGATGAAGAGCTATAAATATATATGCGATAACCAAATAAGTCAGTTTTTCCCAAAGAAATTTCAAATAGCATCTTCCTTAAAACAAAATCCTTAGCCGGGCAGTGGCACACATCTTTAATGCCAGCACTCAGGAGGCAAAGGCAGGCGGATCTTTGTGAGTTCAAGGACAGCCTGGTCTACAGAGCGAGATCCAGGAAAGGCGCAAAGCTACACAGAGAAACCCTGTCTTGAAAAACCAAAAAAAAAAAAAAAAAAATCCTTAGTGATTAAAGCATATATGACTGATCATTCTACTTTGATAGTTTATTGTAATACATTTATTTAGCCCGACATTATTACAGATTTAATGTGAAGGTTTTATTTAGAGCAGTCATTACTAGTTCCTATTATGTTTAACATGACATCTTTTCATATTCTTTTTTGTCATTTTTCTGCTAAAAATTATGTTTTATCCCTATAAGGCCTTCACTGTTTTCAACTTTTTTTATTTTATAAATTTTATTATAAAAAAACTTTGCAAATAAATAAAAATAGCAAGCACCAAAATTAACCAGACTCAAAGTCTATACAGTTCAATAATCAGAATATACATTCAGAAAGGAAGCTGACAAAATCGACAAAATTCTATCTTTGATAAGGTGAACATTTTCTCCTAAACTCTTTTAAAACCTTAATTCATGTCCTTTGAGGAAGAAGTTATAAACTCATATAACTTTTGAACTTTGGTTGTGTACAGGTTTCTAGGTGGGCTGCCTACTGCAAATGCAGTAAGCATTTAAGTAAGGTGGGTTTCCAGCTAAAACTTAGATACCCCAAGAACAGAGAAAGACTGTTCGTGTTCTCATAGCAGGTGTTCTCACACCCAGCAACTGAACCTGAGCAGTGCCTAGCAGAAGAAGCAGAGAGTGTGTGGCAAAGAGTGTGTGACCTGGACTGCAAGGGTCACAGAATGAATGGAGCTGGTCTTTATGGCACATCAATCTGGAGGAGACAGTAGCCATAAATCACACACTGCAGGGCAGAATGTAAAGGCGAATGAACTTTGGGACAATAAGGAAAGTTGGGAAGACACTGTGGCTTCAGTAGGGTTGCCATGGTTGTGGAGCTCTGAGGTCACCCTTCAAGCTGTGCATCCACCCCTCCTCCTAACCAAAGTACTTGGACCCAAACCATGAGAAGGCCTGCAGAGTAGGCGGTGTATGGCGGAAGACACTGGAGACAGCCAACTATGGCCAGGCTCAGGCTCTCTGAGTAGGACACATTAACCCATTTCTAGCTATTTCTAAACTTAGGATCAGAATTCTAGACTGTCTACTAGAGCAACAACTATGAGGTTTAACATTAGATCCTAACCCATTTATTTAGTAGCTTTAGCAAAGTCCTAAACACAGCACAGAGAAATCTATCTCCTCTCAATTTATTTTTTTTTATGGGCTTCAAATGTACAAAGAATATCACGCATATTTTATAATATTGGGAATTTGTTTATTTGTTTGTTTTTAAGTTTAGAAACTCAGCAAACAGCTGAATTAAATTTAAAATGGTGAATGTTTTGTTCTGATTAAATTTTCATTAAACATCTGAAGGCAATAAGCCTTAAACAGTGTATGTCAAAATAACTTAACTTTTTGAACTTTTTTAGGTTTACATCTTTTTAGAGGAAATGAAAAAAGGATTTTCACAGTCTCCAACTCCTGGAAAAATAAAGCACCAACATTCTCTATGTAATTATCAAGTAGACAGTTATTAAGTAATTTAAGCACGACTAATGCCAGCTTCAAGATTATCTTATGCCAATAGACTACTTCATGAATATTCAAAAAGATATGAGACTAATTAAACATGGCCAATTTGGTATTCTCATTTCATGGCTGAGTGGATCAGAGCATCCGGCTCTTATGCAGATTGGACAATGGTGAATATTAAAATCATATCTTTCTAAGATATATTCATTAATCAAGACAGATATAAAATCTCGTTCATAACTTTAAATTGCATGTCTCTTTAAAAGATGAAAATTCAAATAAATAAAATTTAAATAAAAATTCCATGGCCTTCTTTGTGGAGCCTTCACTGAGCAGCTGTTCCACAAAGACACTAAGCAGGGAATGGCCCGAGACAAGGCAAGGCGGGCAATTCTCTGCCATGATCGAGACAGCACATTTTTGCATTTTTACTATTTGTCATTTCTAATCTTAGCAGGAAAACACAAGCCTTGCCTCCCCTCCACCTGGGCTTTCAGAATGGAGCAACGTAACAAGGAACGTATGTTAAGTGCTCACGTTTACAATACAAGCCATGCTAATACTTACACTGTTCATTTGGCCAACAAGTTGGTTTTGTTCTTCGTTTTTCTTTCTAAGCTCAGCTTCCAGATCTAATATTTTAATTTGTAAAGTCCTCTCTCTAGATGACATCTTCTCTACTTCTTCAGAAACCTGTAATTTTCATTAAAAGAATAAAATAACTAAATGTGCTTTCCTTAAAACATATTTTGAAGCCCTGATATAATCATAGTATACTACTTTTTCCCAAGTAGATACTAATTGGATATTAGACAATTCCATTAGAAAATATCCAATGTATTTTATCTTGAGTTGGGGATATAGCTCAGTGGCAGATGATTTCCTAGCATGTGCGAGGCCCTTGGTTCAATCCCAGCAAGGCAAAGGGAAAAATAAAGAATTTGATTTGAAGAAGTACATACAATATATGTGTGTATATGTATCATAAGTATCTGGAAAGTTAATTTGAGGTGGAGAGGTATGAGGGTTTACACTGTTTGTGACCTGGGTAGGGATCTCCCTGACAGTTTTAGACATATTAAACCCAACTGCCACTTTTCATAGTATTTATTTATTTATATTCATTGTGGTATCTGGGGGAGTGGTGGAACACAGCAAAGTCTCACTGAACACTGATTATGTGTCCAGATACCCAATGGAGGGGCAGTGTGCACACAGCCCCTAGACAGACACATGAGACTGGTGCGGCATCCTTCACTTTCAATGCAGCCTGAATATGAGTTTTTCTGTTTCTCTCGGTTGCTTATGTTAACAGAAAGTCTAGCCTAGCTATGTCCATCAGAGACTCAGGTAAGTACAGGCCTATTCGTAAGAATGTTGGTTTGGAGCCAAGTGTGCAAGCAGAGGTAGAGGCTAGTCCAGAGGAAGAGCTCAGCAGGAGGACTGCTCTGAGGGTACTCCGAGGACTCGGTTTTAAGTTACTGTGAACCAATTCCCGGACAACAGGAAAGGACAGCAGTGAGTTCTGAAGCACCTGTGACCTCAATGCAGACAAGGGGGACAGACAATGATGGCCCTCATCAAGTGGTCAGAAATGAAAGACATCACCACATTCCACCACTGCAGGAGAGGAAAGGGTAGGCAACTTCTGGGGACTCTGGCCACTGGGGGGAAAATTCAGAGAGCATCTGGCATCGACAAGGTCTTATGCTGAACTCAGGCAAAGCTCTCCTTTCTTTCCAGAGGTTGGCGGGGCTGAGAGGGCTGCAGAGCATGTCTACAACTGGCACCACCCTTCATTATTTAGCTTTCATTCTATGACGTGTGCCTTCACATCAACTTGAATTGGCTTCGCGGAACTTCAGAAAATTCAAAACACTGGAGGATACCAGAGTTTAGCCTTGGCAGAACTGACACTAAGGACTTAGAGGATACAATAACTAAAAGACAATTAGGAGGGAAGGGTTCAAAGTTTACTTTTAGACATGTCAGATTTGGTAAGTCAGTGTTAAGTGGAGATGCCAAGTAAAGTAGACTTCAGTGGGGTCAGGAATGAGAGTCCCCAGGGTAGAGATGGTCACCTTTTAGCCTCACTCATCCTACAAGGGAAATCTAAGTCCCATTTCACTGATTCCTAAAGAGACAGCCTGCCCTTGGTGAGTGTACCATGCATCAGAGGCAGGATCCAAATCCAGCTACTTGAACTCCAAAGCTCACTCTATGGTCTTTCAATGTGAGATTTCAAGTTGTTTCTTTGTTTGTTTATTTTTAATATATTTATTTATTTATTTTACATCCTAGCCACAGTTTCCCCTCCCTCCTCTCTTCCCAGTCCCTCCTCCTAACCCCCTCCATTCCTACCCCCATCCACTCTTCTTCCATTTCTGTTCAGGAAAGGGTAGGTCTCCCATGAGTATCAACAAAACATGGCGTATCAAGTTGCAGTAAAACTAAGCTCCTCCCCATGTATTAAGGCTGGGCAAGGTGGCCTAGTATGAGGAGTAGGGTCCCAAAAGCCAGTAAAAGAGTCAGAGACAGCCCCTGTTCCCACTGTTAGAAGTCCCACAAGAGGACCAAGCTACACAACTGTAACATATCTGCAGAGTCTGCCAGTTTCATGCAGACTCCCACCAGTTGTCGGTTCAATCTCTGCGAGCCCCTACGAGCCCAGGTTAGTTGATTCTGTGGGTTTTCTTGTGTTGTTCTTGATCCCTCTGGCTCCTACAATGCCTTCTCCCCTCTTCTGCAGGAGTCCCTGAACTCTGCCTAAAGTCTGACTGTGGGTCTGCATCTGTTTCCATCAATTGTTGGATGAAGGCTCTCTGATGACAACTGGGCTAGGCACCAATCTCATCACAGGAGATGGCCAGTTCGGGCTACATATCCACTATTGCCAGGAGTCTTAGCTGGGTCCTCCTTATAGATTCCTGGGAGACTGCCTTGTACCAGGTTTTACCTGAGCCTGGAACGGCCCCCTTTCCAGTCGTCTCTCTTGGTCAAGTTGTCTGATAACTTCATCTCTTCTTTGAGATCTTCCCACCACTCCCTTCCTCTCTGATTGAAATGCCCACATTTGTGTCACTGGAGCCCACCTCTACCACAGAACCTGCAGGTAGGATGACATCTCCACTACACTGAGTGGCCCCAAGAGCTCAGGACTGGCCTTTCCATCTTTGCCTGTGAAGCACTATCCAAGCATCCACACGCCGAGAGGCTGGGCAGCCAGGCTGAATGCTAGCTTCAGATTGAACTAGAACGGAGTTCTTGTGTGTTCTTATTTGTGCAACAAATGTTTGTCACAGAGAAGTTCAGCTTTAGAGTTCACTGGATGTCAACCAAAACCAGAACCTTTAATTATTTATTCAAACACACACACACACACACACACACACACACACACGCACACGCACACGCACACGCACACGCACACACACACGCGTGTGGACACACACACAGAGGTCACACTCTCCGGATCCTTCCCACCTTTGCCCCCTCTCCCGCCACATCAGCACTCATCTAGAAGGCAGTCCTGGCCCAGGAATATCTCTGTGTTCTGCTCTGGGGGAAAATTCAGTAAAGAACAAAAATGGAGCGCTCCTCCACCCTGTCATCAGCGTAAAAACAATAACTGGAGGCTTGGCAATGGGAGCCGACTCTGGCAAACTAATTAAACAGTTTCCAAATAAAGGCCATCTGTACCTTTTGTCTCCCTTCTTCCAGAGCAGCTTCCAGCTGCCTGGACAGCACTGTGTACTCTGCAGCCTTCTCCTTCAGCTCCAGGTCGCTGCGCTTCAGATACTCCTCCTGCTCGTCCAGCTTCTTCTCAAGCTCTTTATTCTCTGCATCCATCTGCTCCAACTTTCTTTTACAGAAATATGCATATGTGTGCTTATTAATATGAGATCAATATATCACATTCAAACATACACACACATCCAGACTATAGTGCATAGGGAAAATGCAACATCGATTTCATGTCCACTTGATACTTACTCTTTTAGGTTCTCACACTTTAACTGAATGAGGTAATTCTCCTCCTCAAGAGAAAGCTTGTTTAGAAGGCTATGGTTTCCATCAATCTAAGTGGGAAAAAAAAAACCACTTTTTCAGCTATTTTTTCCACTGACTTCAAGGAAATAACGTATTTTATTTGGAAGCACAAGAAACAAGAAGATATGAATACACAGACACCAAGCCATATTCACAATGCTAACACACAGGTTCTCCAACTCCTCACTGAGTTTTAAAAGCTGCTGTTGTCTATGTTAGAAAATTAACTACATTTTTTCTTTGTGATGGTAATTAAAATCTCCTGAACAATGTCTTACTGAAAAGACATTCGGCTCTGCGAGGCGTGGGATGTGGCTCAGCTGGCAAGGGCTTCCCGGCAGGTGTGAGGCCAGCACTGGAAAGCCAGGTGTGGAGCCTCACGCTGCAAGCCCAGCTCAGGAAGTAGAGGAAAGAGAACCAGAAATCCAAATTCATCCTCCGGCTGAGGCCAGTGTGAGCTACATGAAACCCTGCCTCAAAACCGACAACAAAACAAAAAAGAAAAAAAAAATGCGCGTGAAAATCTTCAACATTTTTAATTAGATATTTAAGGTTTCTCACATCAATAATGTTCCACTGACATTACTGATAATTATCTGTGAAGATACTAAAGTAAAAGCCAAATAAATCAAAGACACAGCTACTCAAGTCAAGACAGCCTATTCTTTCTACTGCTTCAAAGTCTAATTGAAATAGTTTAAGTAGCTTTAATAGTAAAAGTATTTTTTTTTCATCAGGGCTGGAGAGATGGCTCAGCAGTTAAGAGCACTGGCTGCTCTTCCAGAGGATCCATCTTAAATTCTCAGCACCCACATGGTGACTCATAATCATCCCTTAACTCCAGTCCTAGGGAATATGATGCTCTCTATTGGCCACTTTGGATACTACATGCATGTGGTACACAGACATGCAGAGGAAACATCTATACACATAAAACAAAAACCAATTTTTCTCATACATTAAAGCAGTAACTTAAGTAAAAGAAAATGATTATTTTTCTAGAAGAATTTCTTCTTGGAAATTTGCTTTGTGTTTTTAAAAGCTGAATTACATTCATCTGGAAGACACAAAGTGAATTCTTCCTGAAAGTGTCTTGCAAATAAAGAAACAGACTGGCTACCAGATTCAAACATGCTTCTTTAAGAAAACATGAAGTAACCCTAAAACATGTAGAGTGCTTACTGTGTGATAAGCACCAAGGGAGGAGATAGATGCATGGTGATTACAAGGCTACACATAGTCCTTGTTCTGATGGATTGATAGGTACTAAGTAAAAGGATGGAATTAATCCCAATAATCTGGGCGCTCAATTCTAATTTTTGCAAGGTAAACTGTTATTCCCTTATGCTGATGTCGGGAAACAGACATGCAAGCCCAGCTTGGCCCCTCCTCTCATTACGTCACCACACTGTCCTCCAAGTCCAAATGCAGACTCCCATAACTAACTCTATCAGCTACTTCAATTACTAGTGTGTAGGCAGGAAACTCTAAAGGGTAACCGTAGAATATCTGCATGAAAATATTTTCATCAACTGATATAGACGGGAATAAAAAGTTCAACCCAACCCGAGTGCCCTCGACAGGTGAAATGATGTCAAATATTCCTTTAACACGTCTTCCAAGACTCAGAACGACGGGACACCTGGCCCTGAAGCTCCCTAATGGTGTGCGCCTGCTCTGCACACTTGTCCTTGCAGCGCTGCAGGTTCTCCTGACACTCCTGAAGTCTCTGCTCCGCTGACGTGAAGGAGTGGCGGGCTCGCTCTACCTGCTTCAGATGAGACTCCACCTGGCCTCTCATCTGAGGTGTGGCATCAGGGGAAATAAATGCAAGGTCACACATTTACCAAGAATATGCTTTCTATCTTAACGACTAGACATGCTCGTTATTAACAAGTACTTTACAAATGTTAAGTTACACGAGACATATGAGGGAAATTCATTCATTTTCAAAACGCTTGTCGTCTGGTGCTATCAGCCCACTTCAGGTGTCACACACAGGATGGACTGAGGAACTGGTGGTTTCCTTTCCACTGGTTCATCTTTATCTCTCCAGTAACTGTCACTTTATAGCACCTTATAACTCACACATGCCCTTTCAGTCTTCTTGGCCTAAATCAGCCTTCACAGAGCGCTGCTTCAGACAGCTAACACATCGGTTCTCACTTGGCTGTACGTGGTCACTGTCCTGCCATGTGAGCAAATCTAATTTACCCACAGTGCTCCCCTCACCTCCTGCCCTTTCTCACTGCAGCACTTCTGTAAATATTGGAGAACAGTGTGCTGATGCAACCGAAGGAATGCCACACTGCTCTGTGTAACCAAAAACAACCAAAATGTGACGTTCGGGATGTCCTCACGGAGGAAATCAAGAGGGTAACTTGCCTGAGTTGGGGACACCCACAGTTTCAGTGCAACATCTGGCCATCTTGAAAACAAGAGATAAAACCAGAATAAAGCACACCTCTGAATCCCTAAAAGAGCTAAGAAGCCATGAGAAAATCAGGAGACTCAAGCAATGGGTAAACAAAAAGAACTTCTTTTTAACCAGCATCCTTTTCCAGTTCTACACAGAAAACATTGAGAACAGGAGCTGGAAAGGCACGCTCCTCCACTTTGTGCCTCTGAACAGGTTCTGAACTGGTTTTCACTGCACCCCTAGCAGAAGAGGCACTGTCCTGTGAGAAACAGACCACTCGAAATGGCATCATCTGTGGCCTGCTAAAATGGACGAGAAACAGCTCTAAGAAAGGGTCCAGTTCCTCATTTGGTGGCCTAGTGGCCTGTCCTGGCTGACCTTGACACCTCACTCTTGGTTCCCAGTCTCAAAATGTGCCAGCACCCAGCAACAGTAGCCATGGACTCTGGGCCCGACCACTAACTCCCCGACCCCCAGCCAGGAACCGGTGTCCTATGACTCTCACTGTTTCCTTACCAAAACAGTGTGAAATCCAAAAGGGAATGTGGTTCCATCTAAAAACTTAAAAATATTCACAAAAACACCATCACCTGCCAAAACTGGCTTCTCTGGCTTCTGTCGCAACTGGGTGAATAAAGGAAGAGGTTTCTCAAGATATCCTTTTTCCTCCCAAAATGTATTTACCAGAGACTATTTACTTTGCAATTTTTTTAGACACAAAAAATGTAAAAATAGAAAAAAAGAGACCAGTTTTCATTTTACTGCTGATAGGTCTCGGTAATAAATAATTGGGCCTTTTTCGTTTTAATCTACTCCTGTATCAAAAAAATGAAGCATTCATGCTATTTCCCAAATATGAATAAAAAAAGTAAAAAGACATTCTCACAAATAAACAACATCCCACGCCTGAGTACAGTGCATCTTCAAGGGGAAAGAGAGAGCCCCCTTCCCCCCCACCCCCGGCGACTCGGAAGGGGTCATCCCTAGGCACGCACTCACAAAACGACAGGGAGGAAGGCCTGCGACAGCCAGGGTCAAATGAGGCACACACCGAAAATGCTTGGCTACTTCAATTTCAAACTTACCTTCTCTAACTTCTTGTTTTTGTTTTTTATTATTAGGTTATTTTCATGTAGCAAATTTTTACATCTGCTCTTTACCATTTCAGCTGCTTCTTGCAACTTTTGTACCTTAAAAAAAAAAACACACACACAGACTATAAAGTACCATGTATTATTTTAAGTATAACATGAAATAAAAGCTAAAGCATGTATTTATATTTATTTCACTTTGAATTTGTATTTTAAAGAAATCATCATTCTCCCTCAGCATGTTTATGTAACATTACTCCTGACAGAATTTCTTAGTGTACAATTCTAACTCATCCCTTCATTATCTACCTGTCTTCTCTGATCAATGTTCTTATACTCTTTACTTGAGCTCTAAAGACTACATCAGTTTTCATTTTCAGATCGTTGATTCTTTAAGAAACTAGTCTCTCATTTCCTCTTACACCTGTCATAACAGCCAAGTTCAATAAAACAAGTGACAGCTCATGCCGGCAAGGGAAACACACATCCATTGTTGGTAGGAATGTAAACTGCACAGCCACTATGGAAATCAGCGTGGCAGTTCCTCAGGAAGACGGGAATTGATCTACCTCTAGATCCAGCTATACCACTCTTGGGCGTATACCACAGAAAGACTTGTTCAACCATGTTCATTGCTGACCTATGCATAATACAGAAACTGGAAACAACCTAGATGTCCCTCAATAAAAGAGCAGATAAACAAAATGTTGTTCATTTACATAATGCACAGTAATTAAAAAAATGAAATAATAAAAATTGCAGGTAAATGGATGGAACTAGAAAAAAGCATCCTGAATGAGGTAACCCAGACCCACAAAGACAAATGTGGTATGCATTTGCTTCTGTGTGGATCTTAGCTGTTAAGGCAATGATAACCAATCTACAATCTATAGAACTATAGAGTGTAGGCAAAGAGTAAAAGACTATGGGGGACAGATAGATCTCATTAAAAAAGGAAATAGAATAGGTAGTTATGGGTGGGTGGGCTGGAACAGGAGGATGAAGTGGTGGTGGGAAGGACACAGGAGGGAATACAGGAAGAAACATCTAAACTAAGGGTCATTTGAGGAGTAGTATGGAAACCTAATACAGTAGAGGCTTCTTAACACATATACATAAACATACATGAAGGTAATCTAAATGAAACCTCCAGATAATGGGGGAAACAAAGTCCCCAACTCTCTTTTGTCAACAAACAAAGCTTCCAGTACCAGGATTAGGTTACATCTAATTGAGTTGTTGGCCAAATAGGTCCCATAGGAATCCCCCAAACAACCCAGGCTGTTGCCAAGACAACACACCACAAACTGACAACAAGGCTCCCTTACTGAAGACAACACCTCCACAACTCATTGAACATGGAGACATCGAGCTGGTCACTCACATTCTAACATCTCTGGTACAGGAAGGTACTCTGCACAGTGTAGCTAGAGTTTCCCTGCCTTGCCCACAGTCTGAACAAATCTTTGTCACCTGCCAGTCCCACAGCCGCTCAGACCCAACCAAGTAAACACAGAGACTTATATTGCTTACAAACTGTATGGCCATGGCAGGCTTCTTGCTAACTGTTCTTACAGCTTAAATTAATCCATTTCCATAAATCTATACCTTCCCACGTGGCTCGTGGCTTACCGGTATCTTCACATGCTGTTTGTCATGGCGGCAGCTGGCAGTGTCTCCTTCTGCCTTCCTGTTCTTTCTTTTCTCCTCTCTGTTAGTCCCGCCTATATTTCCTGCCTAGCCACTGGCCAATCAGTGTTTTATTTATTGACCAATCAGAGCAATTTGACATACAGACCATCCCACAGCAGCACAGTACCAAAACAGAAAGGCAAACAGCGAACCAGCTGTAGCATGAATCTTAACAGGTCTTATTAATAAAATCAAACCCAGAGCCAGATATTGGGGTAAATGCTGGAAGATCAGAGAAGCAGAACAAGCCACAGCCAACCTCACCTTGCCAATTCCTCAGCTGATCCTCTTTCCTCATACTGGAAGCCTCTGAGTCTTCATCCAGAATGAATCTCAGCTGAACTGTTTGTTCAAAATCCTAAAAGCTTAACCAGCTCTAGTTCCTGGTTTTCATGCCTTGTCTACTTTTCTGCTTTCTGCCATCACTTCCTGGGATTAAAGGCGTGAGTCACCATGCCTGGCTGTTTCCAGTGTGGCTTTAAACTCACAGAGATCCAGATGGATCTCTGCCTCCCAAGTGATAGGATTAAAGGTGTGTGTACCACCATTCTCTGGCCTCTATATATAGTGGCTGTTCTGTTCTCTGACCCCAGATAAGTTTATTAGAGTGCACAATATTTGGGGGAACACAATATCACCACAGTCAGCCACAAGCCCTTTCATCTACAATAGTGTCCTGCCTGTAAGACACACTAGGGCAATGGTAACACAAAGCTTGTGGGAATCACCAACCAATATCTGATTTGACTTAAGACCCATTCCAGGAGATGGAACTCATACCTGACATTGCTTGGTGACCAAGATCCTGACACTAGATAGCCCAGGGACCTAGGACAAAACCAAATACTACTGTTCTAAGCAAATAAGCAAGTAGAAACAAAAACAACTCCTAATGACATTCTGCCATACTCATAGATCAGACCCTTGCTCAGCCAACATTAGAGAAGCTTCCTCCTGCAGCAGATGTGAACAAATGCAGAGACCCAAGCCAGACATTATGCAGAGAGTGAGAGACCTTGGAACACTCAGTCCTAAATAGAGTCTCCATCAAATTTTTTCCTGCAGGGCTCAGGAAACCCCGCAGAGGAGGAGACAGAAAGAGTGTAAGAGCCAGAGGGGATGGACAACACCAAGAAAACAAGGCCTTCTAAATCAACATGTGCAAAGTTCATATGAATTCAGAGACTGAAGCCTCATGCTTTTAATGTTTATATGGGATTCCTAAGTGTGCAAACAAGTGGGTCTCTAATTCTTGTGCCTTCTCTTGGGCTCTTTTCTTTCTGTTTGATTGTTTTGTCCAATTCTGATGTGTTAGTTTTTGTTTTATCTTATTATATTTTACTATATTATATTTTGTTTTATTTTATTATTATCCCTTAGAAGCCTGACAATGAGAGACAGAAAGGGAGTGGATCTGGATGGGAGAGGATGTGGGGAGGAAATGAGAAGAGTACAGGGAGAAAATACAATCAGGATACATTATGTGGAAAAAAATCTATTTTCAATAAAAGAAAAAAAAACTAGCTCCCATTCCAATAATTTTCCCCATCAAATCAAAATCCATCCAAAGGGCATGGGTGAACTATGCACATTGCCCAGCAGCTACAACATGATATATTCAGATGAAGCATGCTTGCTGAGGCCTAAAAGCCAACAAGTAGGCGGACACCGATAATGTGCTCGGCACACAGTCCTCCAGGCTCCACGCGTCCCTCCCCTGCAGCCCTTCAGCTGGGCATCTCAACTGCCACCCAACCCGTCTAGATGCAGCCCCTCCTGCTTGCTACACTTTACTCCACCTTCGGCTTTTGCCTGCGATACATTTTCTTTCCTTCCGTCCTCCTTTCAGAGTCCCTCTCCTTCCCACCATGCTGGAGACTGAACCCAAGGTCTCACACCTGCCAAGCAGGCAGTCCTTGATGGCACCACACTGCCATCCTTCACCATTCTTTACTTACACTCTCCCAATAACAGCTCTTTAATGACCACTTTGTTCCTATCACACAAGCATCCGTACACATCCAGTTTTTCCCAGTTTTCCTTCAACACTGAACTTCTGAACCTGAAAGCTTAACTATAATTAATCACTGGACATACATTCTACTTTAGACAAACCACCGTATGTTCTTTGGTGTATTTGTGGTGCATGTGTGTGTACATAACTGCATGTGTGTGCTCTTTGTGTGGATGTCAGAGGTCGAAATCAGGTGTCTTCTCTATCGTTCTCTACTTTATTTCTGAGGCAAGGTCTCTCACTGAAATGAACTACTAATGTGGCTGAGCTGGCTAGACAGGAGTTCCAGGGATCAGTATGTCTCCACCCCCCAAGTGTACACTGCTGTGCTCAGCTTTGTAGTTGGGTCCTGGGGATCGAAACTCAGACTTTCATGCTTGCAAGGCAAGTACACTACCAACTGAGTCATCCCACCAAGTCTCTTTCCATGTATTTCATGTGAATAAATCTGAATTATACATTACTTATTAGGAAAAGAGAGTACGGGATTTAATGACCCTTGGTGACAGTCATTGTTGTAAATCAATGTCATTAAATATACTAACAAGATTCCATATTAAGATTCTCATCACCCCTATGCAATTGATTTTAAATTTCCTCTTAGGAATATCTAGTATTTCCATAAGTAGTGCTAGCACTAGGAATTGGCAAGGCCACCTCTATGAAGGCATACGGAGTCTTAAGGAATGTTTGAGACACACTGTATTACATCACAGATATTCACCCCATCTCTTCAGTTCTGTCGACTTGAGCCACAGTGTTTTAAGTCATCTACAGATTTCAATAAACCTTAGCAAGTTACCTGAGTTTTATATATGTCAATGAGCGTTTTCTGTCGTTTTTCTATTTCTTGTAATTCTACGAGTTCATTTTCAACAGAAACAACTTCATCCTTCAAAGCATCAAGCGTACTCTAGAAAGAAATACATGATTGATGGGAGATTTTCAGCCAACAGAACATTATAATCCATGTTGAAGAATTATTAAAGCATACCTCATTCATCAACATTAATGAAATAATCATTTTTATGGCATATAATTTCCACCTAAAATTAATAACTAATACTCATGAATAAATCTAATCAGTACACAGATTTTTTAAAAATTTACTGACAAATAAAAGCTGAAAAAAGTTGAGTTCTAAATAAAAAGAATCAATAACATTGACATGTAAAGTTTTCCACATTCATTTAACACTTCTCAATCTCAACCAAAAGTGTAACAGTCAGAGGTTATACGACAAAACTAATTCAAGACTCATATGGCAGCTGGGCTTGGTGGCACGTACTTACGAGGCAAAGGCAGAGGAGTTGTTGCAAGGTCTAGGCCAGCCAGGGCTATTTAATAAAACCCAGTCTCAAAATTAAAAGCAGAAATAAAAACACCTTATATGAGAGAATAAGCAGGAAAGACCAAACAATTTATAAATAAAGGATACTAAGTAAACAATATCTGTGCTTACTAGATATTGAAATATATAAAGCATTAAGTTGTCAAGATACTAAGAGCACAGAAGACAGAAGAAAAGGAAAAGAAAAATACACAAAACATAGTATACAGTCAACACTGGGTTTTAAACCACTAGGGGAAACGTGTTGTAAATGAACCTCAAGTAAACTACAAGTACTAGGGAAACAGGTTAACCACCTGCCTTGGCCAACTGCTAAAGAAGCACCAAACGAATTTAAAGTTTTTAATTATAAAGTTATGAAAGAAGATCCAGACAAAACTGTACATGACTTTAGACAATACAACTCTACTGAGATGTTAGGACTGGCAAGGATATTCTCCTTGTGTGCATGCCAGTTAGCCTACCACAGTTTCACAGATGCCAGCATAAGGCACAGACCAGGTAAGAGGCAGAGGCCGCTATTTATTACCCATAGCAGTAGCAGTGAAACCATAGGCATTGTGTTAACTTCCTGAGGCGTACCTCCAATGGGGTAAGACAAAGGGGCTGATGACAACTACCTATGGATTGGGATGTATTAGAAGAAGGAAAATGTAAAAACTCAAATATCTCATAATAGGCAGAGAGCATGTCTGTTCTTTACATGAAAGAAAACTATGTTGTCTGCATCAGCCTTATCTGTTAACACGGCCTACGGTCAACTGAGGAACTGCCTAGTTCAAGCTGGCCTGTGGGGATATCTGTGAGGGGTTGTCTTGATTATTAACTGATGAAGAAGGGCCCTGCCTACTGTGGGCAGCACCACTCCCCAGGCAGGTGGTCCTGAGCTTTATAAAAAAATCTATCTCCCACCCGCAAAAGCTGAACAAAAACAGAGACTGAAAACAAAGTATCAATCCAGGTCAATAACTCATCAGCATGTATCCTGAACTCAGGAAAATAAAAAAGGAAGAGGAGACAGCATTCCAAACAATACACAATATACCCATATAAATGTGTACAAAATCTTAACACAGCAAAGATAAAGGAATATTTTGAAAATCCAACATAAATGTGAAGCAGGATTTCCACAGAATAAGAATCAGACTAGCAACAGATTGCTTTCAACCGTACTTGCAACCGTACTTGCAAAAGACACTAAAGCAAAGGATCACCCTCTCTTGAAGGCACAATAAAGATATTTTCAGACACGTGAAGCCCTTTTACATGCACTTCTTCCTATTTTCTCTTTTTAAGGTTAAAAAGAATTTAAAGATATAGTGTAACAAAATGAGAGTTCCTAAGTAAGCAGGCAGTGTAGGCTCAAGGAGGGGCAGCCACGACTCCAGCCCACCTGGAGAGCAGCCCACTGAGGCAGCAGGGATGCGTGGGGGTGGGGGCGGGGATGCGGAGGGGTGGGGGCGGGGATGCGGAGGGGCTCCTGAAGAACAAGAGTACAGACGGGCTTCCAGGAACACAAACATGAAACAGGACTTCTGGAATTTTTATCCTTTAAGAAATGAAGCATTTTCTTTTCTTTGCATTAAAAACACACTTGTTTCCTTTCTTGAAACGATTATGATTACTGGATGTTTAAAATTATGTTCACATTAGGAAAATTTCAGTGGACGTTTTAGGCATTTATTGATGGATTTTTAGAAAAAGGATGGGATTCCAGACTTTGAGTTTCATAATTGTTGAAGTTCCCTTGGTGGGGAGGGGTTGACATCCACATCTTTTCCACTCTTTCTAAACTTCTATTTCTGTTTCTAGAACATGAGTCTTGGAGAATTTTGTGATTATTTATTTCATGGTTCAAATGCTCCTTTTCTGATTTCTGTTTTGTGTTTTGTGGAGCTGGGAAGGTGCCCTCATGTTCAGTCCTGTCCCGTCCAGCCACAGGCGTGTCTCTGTCTAAGAACTCAGGTTCCCTTTTTTCTCAGAAAGTCTAAAATCTTCCTCTCTCATCTCTTCTCTGGGACACATATAAACCAATCACTCCTGGAACTTGGCTCAGTTGAAAATTCTTTCTGGTTATAAAGCAGCCAAGAACATACTTTCTGGTTTCAAACAGACCCAGCTTGATGGTGGACCATATGGTAACCATGACACCTACAAATAGTTCTGTGCAGTAAAGCTAATGCAATTTTGGATGATTCACTGCTAAAATTAGAGAGTAAATAAACTGTTCTAAAGTTGAGACAAAGAGAGAGTTGTCCAATCTCATAAGCCTTGTTTTGTTAAATGCAATTTAAAATCATTTTTGTATTTGTGACTAAAAAGCTTAAAACTTATATACATGAAAAAGACATTATCTGTGTATCTAGAAATTATCTATCTTAATAATACAATATCATGAGAAACATGAAAGACAAAACAATACATGAACATTGCCCAACCTTGCCTTTACTCCAAGGTATTGCTACTAAGTATGCACATACATGCACACACACACACACACACACACACACTACCTTTAATTTCACATTCTCAATATTTAGGGCTTCATTTTCATCTTCAAGTGAGTGAAGTTTTCTAAGAATTTCTTCACATGAACTTTTTCCATGAGTTTCCATTTTCTTCAAATCTTCCAAAAGATTAACGATTTGCCTTTATAAAATAAGTGAAAGCATGGAAAATTTCATTCAACTAACAGACTATAAGTGTTTTTAAAATTATTCTGGTAGGGCGCACTGATTAAAATGGAAATGATTCGGAAAGGCGGCAGGACAGATAGAGCAAGGGCGCAGGAGTGGTGACCCAGGGCTGTGCTCAAAGCAGCCAGGGTTAGAAATACTCACCTACTGATGAGGCCATCTAGCCTATCGCCCACAGGAGGCATGTCTACCCATCCCTCTCATAAACAATGCATATGAAAAATACACACACACACACACACACACACACACACACACACACACACACACGGAGACCAGCTCAAAAGAAGGATCAAGTGAGGTAGTGACACCTCCTCCTAAGAAGCAAATTACATGTTAGTTCTCTATGATCACGCATAACAGCATGGGAACAAGACTTAAGGCAAATATTAGGCTCTGTTACTGCTCCACAGCAGCAGCGTCAAAAAACAGAATGTGTATTTTTACTCATTAACTTTCTGTTATACACTTTAGTCCCTTGAATTAAGGGATAATAATTTTTAGGATTTTGAAACTTACATTATAAATTTTGCTTCACTCATATCCTTGTTTAATTGAGAAACATCACTTCTACTTAGAGCAAAGTTATCTACATTTATAAGAAATAACAGAGATACACACTCAAGCACAAAGTGCAAATCTGCAAGTTCCACCTTTAAAATGGGAATAGCAATGCATGTTTAAAGAGTAATCATTCTCACTCCCATTTCTTAGTAGAACAGCTTATCACTATCAATAACACCTTTACCACACAGAATCCAGAAGAACCAAAGCATGCAGTGTTGGAGAAGAATCAAGTCGCTTCTCATTATACAGTGACAATCTAAATTCTTGCTTACTTTTTCATTGTTTCAATCTGAACTTCCAGTTCAGTTTTTTCTATTACGATGTTCTCATAATGACTTTTCCAGGCATTGGAAGCTGAAACTGTTTCGGACAACTTGGCTTCCTAAAAATATATAAAGCATTCATCTTGTAACTTAAAAGTGTTTTTTACAGGTCTTAGGCACAAACACTCTGTAAATATGAAAGCACTCCTCCAGTAAAGCATGCAGCTTTTCCTGTAGAGAAGCTCAGTGTGCAGCTTCCAAAAGAGGAAAATGTTAAAGTGAGCTTTAACAAAACACCCATATGACTATGACTTTATATGCGCACAGTACAGTTCCAACTTACTATTTTAAGATGCTGATGCGACTAGTTTTAAGGAATGTTTCACAATTAATAAAATAATTTCTATTTTACTTATGAATGCCTCTTCATTTTCCATTCTTTACACAGAAGAGCTAACAACCACATGCATGGGAGAAGAGGGTTTCCCCAATGTATAGAAACTATTTGCAATTCCAGGGCTCACAGCATCTTCAAATGCAGGCTTATTTGTCTATCTTGAGGTCACCCATCCGCTTGCCAACACGGCTGCTGTCAGCAGTGAGCAGGGGCCCAGCCAGTGTGCATGGGAAAGCCACAAAGGAGGACTTCTGTCTGTTTCCTCCATCGCTGTTGGCAGGGTTTGGAATGGTGCCAGGAACACGCAGTAAATGCCAATGGCTCTCGGCACCACTCTGTGGCTTTGTCCACATTCTACAGAGAGCAAACTCACTAGTTATGAGAGTGCCAGTTAACCATGAATCAGAGGACCCACAAACAGTCTGGACAGCAGCTAACATACTATTGTCCTCTTTCCTTCTATCATTCATTCATTCATAGAAAAGTTTATTGGTCATCTTGTATGTACAAGATATGGTCTATGCTTTTCACAGAAATGTTTGTTACACTGAAGACTAGTACCTTATTTCATATTTTGTATAAAATAAAATTTAACATAAATTATGAAGTAAGAGATGGCTATGACATATACTATAAAGTCAGTTCATATTATAATGTATATAATGTAAGATACTGAGGTATTAAATCCATGGGAGAAATGTATATATTAGATATGTAAAGTCCATATTTCTTCTTTCACCTGTCTTTATGGAAAGACACAAAGCAAGAGCCCCTCACCTTCCACTGCAGTGGACCTGCTTCTGAACTAGTACTGTGGCAGCCTCCGAATTACCGCAGATCTCACAGACCCTTCCTAATCCCCACCCCCCTTGACTTCTCTGTGTTGTATTGCATGTATATGCATGGTAAACCAAATAAGAATTCAATAAAATGTGCCATGGTTGAACTCATTTGTGTTCATGGTTGAATTCATTCAAGCTTAAGACAAACTTGAGGAGGGAGAATAGAAAAACATGAGATAGCTCCAGAAAGAAAGAAATACCATAAAAATTAAGACATTAATATAATGAATTGGAAAGGTAACTGATTCAAGGGGAAAGGAGCCAGTGACAATAAGTAAGGAAGAACTTAAAGCCAGAGGCAGCAGCCAGTCAACAGAGCTGCCAACTCCACATGCTGAGGCTCAGAAGAGAGAGCATACAGCAGCCCCATCTGATTTCTCCTGCATGCTCCCACAGTCACTGGAGGAAGTAGCGTTCTTATGCCCTAGTTCATAAACGAACTGAAGGTCAGAGAGGCTAAACACCTTCTGTACAGTCTCCAGTGCAGGAGCCTTTGCAGACTGGCCTGGGGCTCTGGTGATGTTAACTCAAGGGGGAAGCCTCCAGAGCGCCAAGCCAGGAGTAGTGTTGAGCACTCCAAGCATCTGTGGGTATCCAGTCAGGTTACAACCTTGTAGGTGCTGAGCCTAGTCTTCAATTCAATATCTAGTTACTCAAGTGAGTGTAAGTTAAATATTAGAGCCTTAAAAGGGTGAGATTTGAGCTTATAAAATATTAGCTTGTTTTGTTTGTACAAGCTTTTATACAAGTCTGTTTTCATTTCCAAAAGCAAAAAATCTATAAGCCTTAGCATACGTTCTTAAGAGGTGGGATACTAGTGAGCCACAGCAACAATGAATATTTGATTGGTTGGCAACTGAGTAAGAATGCTGATTTGTCAGGAGAACAAAGCACTAGGCCATTGCTCAGCTCTGTGTTAGACTCAGAGATATCTTTCACATGTTTGTTGACGTCAGCATATGGCTTCAAATGCATTACAGAGGTTAAATGAAGTGAATTACTGAATACAGTCATATGGTCTAATAACATAAATCAGCATTTCCCAAACTGATATTTCTCAGAACCATTTCCAAGAGCTGCTTTGTGGGCACAAGAAGAGTTCTGTGGTTAAGTGTGGGAAATTCTTACTCCCATGCCTTCATTACCGCCTTCTGAGAGCCTTCTCAGGGCCTTGAATGTTAATATGCACTGTAACTTTCCAGTAGGCAAGACGGAGGAAACCTTACTCCTAGCTAGCCACAGAAGCTTTTGGTGTGTGTGTGTTAGGGAGGGGACATGGCATATACTTACATTTCCTTTCAGTGAGCCCCCAAAAATGCTATCGATTTCAAATTGTGTATATTATGATACATAATCTTTCAAAAAAAAAGCAAAAAGATGAGTAGATTTTTATAGCATGAATAGTAACATGGATAAGAATGATACCATTATCTAAAGCTTCACAACATTAACTAGGCTAACTAACTATGCTATCTAACTATGCTGTCGAACTATACTAACTAGTCATATTGTCTAATTAACTATGCTATCTAACTAACCATGCTGTCTAACTAACCATGCTATCTAACTGACTCTGATATTTAAGTGCATGAAGCATCTTATACAAGAATGTGCACACTCACCTGAGCTCTAATCTGGGAAGTAAGGTGTTCAATATCCCCCGTAAAGTGTTTCAGCCGTTGTCTGTAAACTTTGGATGCTTTTTTCAGAGCCACGCCTTTCTGCCTACTTGCTTCTTTGATGGCTACAGCCTCCTGCTTATTCAATTTCACCTGCAAGTTCCACTTGGCTATTTGGGTTTCCAAGTTCTAAAAAATGTTAAAAGAAATTAAATTACACCAGAATTTCAATGTTTAAATAAATGTTGCAAAAACACATATGTTGTCTTCCACACAGATTTTATCCAAAGAACTAATCATGAGTAATTAAAAAGTTAAACAGTGATAAGAGGGGACAAAACTTCTTACAGCAAGTTAAAAAATGAAAATTCAACATAGTTCAGTATATATAAACTAATGGCATTATGACTAAAGAGACTAATATTTGTGATCATGGCAGAAACATCAGCTTCTTAAAAGCCCCCATGATCGGATATCATTTAGTTCACATATGAAATATAACACAGGACAGTTGAAAATATGACCTTAATCTTAGGTATGCAAAGCTCAAAAGGAACCGGTAACTCGCCAGATACCTGGGAGTGCCTCAGGGGAGCAAGATGCACAGGACATGGAGGATGAAGACAAGAGAAGCCGAGACCCGGTGACCAAACTTAACTTTTGGATCGGAAGGAATCTGCTAATCCTCGACATTCCAGCCAGGAGAGTAACTGCTTACCCAGGAGTGGCAAACAGTTTGAATGATGTGCAAGGGCGCAGCCACTGATGGGATGGTGCTAACGGGCAGGACCCATTCCTTGACACGCTCTTGGTAAAACACGAGAGAGCTGGTCTAGGGGGCAACTGCTCTGCCTTCCTTTCAAATGGTTCTAAGCATCTGAGCATGAAGTGCTGTATGTAAATATTAATGAACATGAAGTATGTAAGAACTAATGACTAGAGATTGTTAGGCTTTTGTATTTTTAAAATTACATGCATGTTAAATCTGAAATTACAGGATCCGTGCTTGGCACTACCATTCCTGGGGCAGCCATTTCAGCTAAAAATAAATTTAGGACTCACAGTAGAAGATAGGCTTTTCTACTTGATCCTGTGACCAATAAAGGCTATGTTTCCCTTCACTTCCACGAATGTTATAATTAAGAAGCATGTCGCCAGGCGGTGGTGGCCCGCACCTTTAATCCCAGCACAAGGGAGGCAGAGCCAGGCAGATATCTGTGAGTTCGAAGTCAGCCTGAAATCCAGGACAGGCACCAAAACTACACAGAGAAACACTGTCTCGAAAAACCAAAAAAACCAAAAAACAAACAAACAAACAAAAAAAAACCAAGCATGTCTTTGGATTTCATCTCTGCGGACTGCTTAGGTAAACTCTGAAGGAGCAACTACCTCTTCAGCTGCCTCTACAAATTTAACTTAAACAATCAGACACACACACACACACACACACACACACACACACACACACACACACACACACACACACACACACACACACACACAAAGTCCCATGAGCGCTCCAGTAAATAATTGGGAAACATAAACTGGAAGGTCAAGTCCCTGTGTGAGAAAGGACCCGCCCATAAGAAATGCACCAGTCATTCCTGAGACGGCCACACGGTGTCACCACCACACTATCCAGTTTGGGCATTTGTTTAAAATGCTCTTACATACAAAGTTTAAAAAGAGACTATAAAAGCTTCTCAGTTTCAAGAGGTCCCATTGATTGATTGTTTGTCTCAGTGTCTGCGCTACTGGTGTTATAAGAAGCTTTTGTAGAGCAAAGGATACGGTCAACAAGGCAAAGCG